ATTAACGCTTCAGTCAGATCCCTTGTCCATTCACCTCTGACCCTCAAGGAAGGCACAGATGATAACCACCCAGGGCTGGGGAACACCTGGGGATGGTGGTGGTGTGCCGTGGAGTCACTACCAACTCACAGAGACCCTGCTGCATAGGGTTTCCGAGGCTGTAAGAAAGCCTCGTCTTTCTCCCGTGTAATGGCTGGTAGCTTCAAACTGCTGACCTTGAAGTTAGCAGCCCAATTCGTAACCACTGTGGTGCTGTGGGTTAATGCACCAGACTGCAAAGCCATTTGAACTGCAAGGTTCAAGCTCACCAGCTGCTCCTCGGAAACCCTATCCAGGGTCACTATGGGTCAGAACTGACTCGATGGCACTTAACAACAACAACAACTCTACCAGAGCTCCTTGGAAGGCCCTAGAGGAGGCATATTTGAATTAAGAAAGTATCTAGAGGACAACCACCTCGGCTTGGAAGTACCTGGAGAACCACCCGAGGAGGTCCACCTGAGATTGGGGAATACCTAGAGGAAGAGGGGAGTCCTGGTGTGACACTGTAGGATAAGCACTGGGCTGCAAGATTGGGTTTCCAAGATCAGTGGTTCAAATTCATCAGCCGCTCCTTGGAAAGACTATACAGGTTCTGTATGAGTTGGAACCCACCAAGTGGGTGGCATTTAACAACAACAACAAAGAAGAAGAAGAGCACCTAGGTTAGGGAGGTACCTGCAAGGAGCTGTCAGTGCTGGGGAATATCTGCAGGTGGACACTTGAATCAGAGGGGTGTCCAGGCTATGAGAGTACTAGGAAAGAAGCACATAGGTTAAAAGGTTACTCCACCTTATTCTTTCTTTATTACAATATTTCAGTGACTCTCTTGCTCCAATCTGCCACTAAGCCCCATCAGGCCTTCCTGTAAATATCTATGCAATAACTACGTCTCTCCTCCCCACCTTGATTCTACTGCCCTAATGCAAGCCACAATCATCTTTTACCTGGACATTTGAAATCATCTCCAAATTGGTCTCTCCCCACCTCTAGTTCATTCACCGAAGAGAATCAGATATTTATCATTCCTCTTCCTAAAAATCCTTCAAGAACTCCTCATGCCCCTCAGGGCTGTGAGGAGATTCCTCAGCATATCGGGCAACACTCACAATCCCACACAAGGCCCTGAGGTCAAGTTCTTCTGCCTCTTCTCCACAGTTCCCTCTCCCTGCTCTAGACACACACACACCTCCATGACTGCCCACACTTTTGCTTTTCCACCATCCCCCTCCTCAATTTTTTGAGTTCTTCATTCTTCAAAGACAAATCAGACCCTATCCACCTGTGAGGTTGTCCCCCTTCACCACTCTTCCCAGTCAAATACCTATCAAAACTGATTGTTTACTAACTGGGCAACATTCTGCAGGCAAGGCCTGGGCTGTTTGGTCTGTGCCCAGGCATTAGCTAACCAATAGCTTAGCACTCAGCTGCTCAATGAGGGCTTGTCAAATGAGGGAAGGAACACGGGAGAGAGTGAGTTAGTGGAGGTGTGCATTAGAAAGGAGAGGGAAATCATTCATTCATTCATTAACAAACACTCATTGGGTGCCTACTACCACCCTAGACCCTGGGTCCTCGAAAAATAAATTATTAAACTGAAATCAATTCAGTTTGATGTCTCTAAGATTTTACTTCCATCCCTCTCCTGCCTGCCTTGTCTCTGGGAATTCTTTCCAAGGGCACACACACATACATACATACACACACACCCCTCTAAGGGCACACGGACACCTTCCTCAAAAGGCCTCTAAATTCACACTGACTTTCCCATCCGCCATCACATACACAGTCTGTCACCCCACCCCTCCGGTCACACTCTCCTCCACAGACAAACACACAGGTTCAGATTTTCAGGCACGTCCCCACACACACCCTGATTGTAACTTCTTTTCTTCTCCCAGAAGCCTCCAAGGGTCTGTGTAGAACCTGAGTACCCCCTTCCCAGGTCCCCCAATGAGTCCCCCTTCACTTCCCACCTGCAGGTACTGTTCACGTCCGTGGAGGAAGCTTCCTGCTAGGGCGGGCAGAACCTGGACTGGTGGGCGGGGCCAGAGTTTCCACTTGACTCACTTGGGAGCAGCAGGCGGGGCTGAAGCTGCAGGTGAGGGCAGAGGGCTGAGCAGTAGACAGCGTCTCCCAAAGGGAGGACCTAATTCTATCTACATCTTCCCAGTTTTTGCAGAGAACCTTAAGCTTGCAGACCTCCCTGTTCCCCAGTGCTGAGATTCAGAGAGGGGTCCAGCTGGGCCTTAGGAAGTAGCAGACACCTGCAGCTGCTCAGGCTGATGGCAATGATAAGCAAATAAATTTCTGGTGACAGGTACAAAGTCCAGAGCTGCTGAGAGAGTTTTGCAGGCCAGTGAAGTCGGTGGGCTGGAAAACCAGAGGGGGAGGGAAAGGCATTCTTCCGAGCAAGACCAGTTGCCATGTAGGCTATTCTAACACATAGCGACTATAGGACAGGGTAGAACTGCCCCATCAGGTTTCCAAAGCCGTAATCTTCACAGACGCAGACTGCCATATCTTTCTCCACTAGAGCACTGGCCCTCCAGTTAGCAGCCAAACACTAAACCACTGTGTCACTAAGGATACTTGTCTGCAGAATTGTGTGTGAGTGTGTGTGTTACCTGAATAGGGGATCCAAGCTTTCAACCAGATCTCAAGGGTGCCAGACTTGGGACCTCACAGTAGCGCTCCCCAATGCCCTTCTCGGTGCCTCCAGCGCAGGGCCCAAGGCCTCCATGCCCTTCTCCAGTCACCTTCTCTGTGCCCTCTGCACTCCACAGGCCCCGCCTCCTCCGTACCTAGAGCATTCTCAGCTGCACGTTTCTCTCATTATCTCATAATTATTTCTTCCTGGGTTGCCTGCTGAGTTCTCCCAGGGTGGGGCCAGGTGTTGACAGTATCTGGGTTCCCAGCACCCACCAAGTGACAGACACAGGGCAGCTCTCAATCAATATCTAAGGGAGGGAGAACCACAGAGGAAGCGCAAGAATTCACCATTGGGAGCAGCTGAAGCTAGGGCTTTAGAAAGGAGAACTGTGGCTGCAAAGCTGAGGACATGGACCATTTTAGGATGGAGTCTGAACTCTTACATGACTGACCCCTTCCCATCTCTCCTGCCTCTACCTCTCCATACTCTCCAGCCACATTAAACTGTTTCCTGTTTCTAGAACCCACCATGCTTTCTCTAACCCCAAGTCTTTTAGTATGTGCTGTATCCTTTCCTGGAACCCATGCTTTATCTCCCTCACTCCCCTTTCCAGAATCCCTCTGCCCCCACCCCCACCCCCCACACATCCATCCATCCTAATTACTCCTCTCAGACCTGCTCATCACTCAGGTGCCGGCTTTGTTGTTGTTAGTTGCTGTCAAGTCCCTCCAACTCATGACAGACTCACACACATACAACAGAAAGAAGGGCTGTCCAGTCCTGTGGCATTTTTACGGTTTTCTCTTCATTTGGTTCAAGTCTATTGCTGCAGACAATGTGTATTTTCAGTGTCTTCAACCTGGGAGGGTCAGAGCCAGTACTGTGTTAGGCAATATATTAGGGGTTTTGTTGGCTAGTTTTCAAAAGAAGCTGTCTTTCCTAGTAGGTGTTGGTCTGGAAGCTCTGCTGAAATCTGTCTACTATGGGTGATCCTGCTGGTATTTGGAATACAGTAGCATAGCTCCCAATACCATAGTGGCACAAAAGTCATCACATTACAATACATTAACTGATGGGTGCTCTTTCTCTAGACCAGCCTTCCTTCACTAGTCTGGCTTAGATGCTGTCCTCCTCTTCTCTATGCCCTGTGTCTCGGAAATGTTCTAAACAACAGATGTGCTGGAGGTGTTCACTCATCTAGACCAAGAAATTTGGAATACAGCTAGCTACCTGGTCAACCAACTGGAAGACATACATTCCAAAGAAAGTTGACTCAACAGAATGAGGAAATTGTCTAACAACATAATGTCATACCCACCCACTGCCATGGAGTTAATTCCGACTCATAGCGGTCCCCGGATAGGATTTCCGAGGCTGAAAATACATATGGAGCAAAAGGCCGCATCTTTCTCTCACAGAGTGACTGGTGGGTTTGAATTGCCAACTGTATGGTTAGCAGTCCAGTACTTACACTACAGCGCCACCAGGGCTCCTTATATAATATGTTGTTGTTGTTAAGTGCCACTGAGTCGGTTCCCATCAAAGCGACTCTGTATAGGGTTTCTGAGGAGCAGCTGGTGAA